TTACGGAATGCAAGAAAACAATCTGAAATCACACGTGGTTCGTGCGTGTGACTGCGTGTAGGCGTGTTTGTTCTTTCTGATTCGTGGAGATGGACTGATATAAGGTCACTCGGAAGTTTTTGGATATCTTCTATTGAACGTAGTCGTGAGCAGTAGAGTGGTGTTCACGACACCACCTACTCTTCCTCATGGTTGGCATCTATCAACTCTTTGTAACATGCGTCTGCTTGCATAAATTGGTTATGCGTGGCTTTGATCATAATCCGACTTGCGTTGACTTGCTTGGTCGTTTTAGTTTGATTGTTTTCAATTTGTCGCGTATTTTTTTCTAAATTAAAGAATGTTTTTACCAGCAAATCAAAGGTTAAACTACTGGGAATTGGAGCAGAGTTGGTGAAATCCATAGTTAATACCAAACGTGGGTGGGTATACTTTTGTTCTACGCAATTTATACATGACGATTGTCCAGTCAAGCTGTCCGGTCATGTATGAGATAAAATATTTGCCTCTTCGCCTATTCCAGGATGGACATTACGTAGCACATATCAAACGTTCCAGTTTGGCCAAGTCCATCCCTGGTGAACCTTCCAGTCCTGGTACCCAACCTGCTTGTGGGGGTCTAGATCAGGAATGGATCATCTTCAACGATGAGAAGGTTGCCAAAAGCGAGTCACCGCCTCATCGCTTGGCCTATATCTATTTATTCCGGCGTGCTGATGCTCCAACCGACTGAGCAATACTCACCCGGCTGTTGTCCTTTATCACCCGCAATGACACAGTCGTACGCAGTTTGTGTTCCTTTTCTATTAACGACTATTTTCTCGTGCCTCATCATTCTCTGGAACTTTCGATGGAACTCAGCCGTTTTCTACTGCGCCTCGTTCACATTTGCATGACTCTTGCTTGCCACGAGCATATGAATTGCCTCATTCTCCATTGTTCAGTTGCAAAATATACTACTAATAGGACCTTGTGAATTTCTTGTTTTCACCATTGTGGGAAGCCATGAAGATTGCTCTCACTGGTTGATATGTTGCTGTTGGCTTGGATTGGAGTTTTCGCAGTCCAAGTCTTTTTTGAGTGCGATATCTTTCATGCTGTCATCTACGGGTTTCTGGAACGTGTTTTATATTACGGTGTATTCAGCATTCGCTCTACATTGGCCAGAAGCTTTATTTACCCATGAGGCAGAGTTGTAGCATGCTCTGTCCTAGTGAGACTTTGTTGCTTTGACTCGTCGTTCTGTAAGTGAACAAAACCGGTGAAAATGTAACTTATCGTTTACTCGAAATGGCAAAAGGCAACTCAAACAGAGCGATATAGGTCACCGATGTGGGATTCCACCGAACACCGAATTCATCTTGCGTTCTTGGATAGCTACGGTTGTAGCATCTCACCGCAGAGGTCTCAAAGGAACCAATCCAGCCAGTTTCTTAAATTTAAGATAAGCTTCATAAACATATTTGGTTGGTTGATCCTTGTTAGTCATTGGAACGCTGGGTTCTTCCTCTCAACTGGAAATCACTGGCGGGTTGATGGAAGGGTGTGTCACTAAATTCAACCTGATATGAAGATATCTTGGGTTGTCTGCACTTTTTTCGAAACGGTCTTCGCACTCACGCTGATCGACCGGGCATTTACAAATGAAGGATTATGCACAACAGTTCCCATAGCCTGGTTTTTGATGGAACCCTAATGTTTTTTGGAACGATCTGATACTGGTCAGTTCCCTCCACTTACAAAAGGTTCACTTAGAGATTCCCATTAAATAAGACAACAAAGAAAATATCGAGGGAGCTGCTAGAACCGTCCACAATTTCCCGTAGATCACATCTATGTGTATGACTATTCGGTAGTGCCCATCCGAATTTGAACTATTTTACACGGCCAAAATCAAATAGAAGTAATCGATATTTCCACACTAGGGCTTCCAGAGTATAGTTCGGGTGAAATGTATCGCCATTATCAGCAAACTCAGCTGCACCGGTCATTGCCGTCTTCCTGGATAGGGACCCTGAGACGGTCAATATCAATGGTTAGAGCCATTGTCAGACATGACTCAGTTGAGCCCTCAGTCGAGCTCGTGTATCCAAGGTATTGCTTTCAGTTCATAGCTCCCTTCCCAACCCCACTTGACAGTCCTGTATTTACGCACCAATTTGTCAGCTCCCGCATCCAATGCGCGGCTACCTGCCCCACCTCTTGGCATCCTTCACTTTGCGAACTTGACCGTATCTCCCATATATTACGAGCTACCTCGAATGCCGATGGTGGTCTCGACACCACCGCGAGGCAGACACTGCCTGTCCCTCTGTCGATGATTGTAATAGATTGGTGGGACATTTCTGGGATACAGTAATCCATCCAACATATGGTTGACCTCTGACTTCCTGGGCGAGATGACTCAAGTGGTTAGAGCGCGAATCTACTGACCGGAAGGTCCGTGGTTTGAACCCGACCTCTGCCTCTCGACTTCCCCCGTCTATGCTTGGGCAACCTGGTAGTATCCCAGCCCTCGTGCTTCTTTTGGGTAGCTTGGCAGCTAGGGTGTTACAGCTGAACGATCCTGGCCGAAAGGCGCTTCGCGAACAAGCTAATTACGTCACTTAGGTGTTTCCCCAATACCTAGTCCCGCTTACCTCTTCAAACCGAGAGCAGCATATCAGCAGGCCAAGCACTCGCCGACTCCTCAGTCGAAGTTTGGTTTTCTCGATCGAGGCTCTGCCTTATCAGCAACTGGGTTCATAATCGCCTAAATTTGAAGACAGTTCACCACGCTATTAGGCTGAATGTGAATTCCAGGTGAACGGTGACCCTATTTCATATGCATATTATGGTCATTTTAGTACCGCTGGTGACCGCCTTCGGCGCGTAGACATTGCGCGGCTTAGATAATGTATGAGGATCGACTTAGGGGCTAATCATTCAGTAAGGTTTGACTGGGGCAGTCAGTGTTTCCGAGCACGAGATCGCAGCTTACTTTCAGCGGTCGATCATGTTCATTGCTTTCCCGCATACACAACGTTAACGTTGTCTTGGTTTCACTTTGTCGAAATGCGTGAGTTGTTAGTTTGAGTGTGTACAGTGACTTTCCGCCGGGGGAGGGATCTTTCCCAAAAGAATGTGTTCATCTTATCAGGCTCTTTTCAGCGTATGGCTATGCAGACAAAATAGCTCCGGCGAGAAAGGTCCCAGCGTCCTTACCTTCATGGTCTCGCAAGCTGCTTGCCGGGCTTGCTGAACGGACTCTGAATCAGTTACATGCATTTCTGACTGGGAATCACTTTCTTGTCGAACAAAGACTTGGGAAGCAGTGCTCGTTGCCATCGTATACAGTCGCGGGATGTCACCAGATTAGACGTTGTTGAAAATTGCCATACTGTGGCTAGGAAGAATTAGGATGTAACTGCAAGTCAAGGGACACGAGGCTTCGAGTAACTACAGGTATTGAAAAAAATACGGTCGGGTATTCCTTCGTTGGGAAAACATGTCCAGCGAGAAGAGGACCTTAGAAACCCGGGGGTTCTTTACCGGTGGTCCCTCATCCTAAAGACAACCCACCGTAACCGAAGAGAAAGCACTGTCCGGCTCCCGAAATGCCCAATTTAACCCTAAAGAGGAGACGCAACACTGGGGCTTTCTGATGACACTACCTCAGGTTTCTTTGCTACCCATTATTCCAAAGGATTAACGTCATCGACACAGCTAGTGAAGTGGCGCTCCGTATGAATTAACTCTGCTTGACAAGGCTTGATTCGGCTCACTCGATAAATCAGCCTGGTGTACGTACACCCCACCGTTCGTCAGCTCTTAAAGTTGAAGCGGCTGTGTGGACGAAACAGTTTCAGTCACCTGATACTCTTCTCTCGAGGGTTGAGTACTATTTCTAGATCTCGTCAGCTATCAGCAGTATCGACCAACCGTCGCACAAGTTCGGATTTCACATTCTTACCGTTAGCATACCTTGCCTAGCAGTTTCGGTTTGTCGCGTGCGCCACATAACTACGTGGACAATACTTTACACTTTTATTTGCCTACTGATGAGTAGCCCAATTATGATGATGCATGTATAGTTTTGCCATTCGGTACATGTTACATTTCTACATTTCAGAGCACTATTCGATGTCAGGGAAGGTAGATGATCTCTATCTGCCCAATGCAGTTATCTTACGGATTATCCGTGACTCCGTAAGTTTATTCCACAGATTTCATTCGCTCGGTTGGTTTCCCTACCCTAATCGACCGGATTTGATTGTCCACTTTCCGAAAGCAAATGCTTCTAAGCGCATTAGTAAATTCGCGTGGATAGTTCCCCGTCTGAACTCCATTTAATTGCACATTATATAGTGTGCTGCTGATCTGGTAGCCCCTAATAATACATAATCAGTTTGAACTCCCATCTCGCTGGTTGTAACTTGGCAATAATCATGTCCTGACAGTTCTGACGCTGAGCACACTCTGTCTCTAAAAGTTGAGCTCCTGAATATCTTTCGGCTAAATTAGGTTTGAAAGGACCCCATAGAATTTTTCACCTGGCCGTGCATCTGAACAGAGTCGAATCAGTGATTGTGGGTAACAGAAATGGTTTCCTTGGATAGGGTGGTTGAAGTGTGAACCATTCGCAGCTATACAAGTGAGCCGAATGGAGACGATGTTGAAACACTGGTGAAATTCTTAGTTTTTGATTGAGGTGGAGGCTGGGACAGCTTGTACATGAATACCATCGGCCATGTTATATTCGTCCATCTAAATCCGCAGGTCCGTTTTCGGTCGCCGCGTGTTATCACTTCGTGACTAAAGCATATCACTGTCAGCATTCTCGTGAACTGGATTTGCTGTCAGTGTTGCCGCCATTCTCGCAAGCTTTTTTTACCTTTCTCCTCTGTAGTTGCCTGATCGCACAGTGGTCAGTCGTGAGGCGCGGTCTGCCATTAGCAAAGCGGCCAGTTCTTTCATCCTCTATGTGACCTCCTTGGCTAGCACGCACTGCGAAGCTGCCAAACGGAAGACGCTGGCAGTTGGAGACATTCTTGCTGCATTGAAGGACATGCAATTCGAACACTACATTGTAGAGCTCCAGACGTTTCTGGAACGTAAGTTGGCTGAAATAGCATTGGGTACAGTTTGTTTATCCACATGATCAGTGTGCCCGTTTTTCCTTTGATTATTGTGGATTTTGGTTGACTATTGATTTTCCTATTCGCATTAGTCTAGTTTACATGTGGCTCACTGGTATCCGATACAGATTTGCCTGTTAACAGCAGTTGGGGGCGAGATGGACAAAGTGGTTAAAGCGCGAATTTACTGACCGGAAGGTCCGTGGTTCGAATCCGACCTCCGCCTCTCGACTTCCCCTGTCTAGGCTTGGGCGACCTGGCAGTATCCCAGCCCTCGTGCTTCCTTCGTGTGGCATGGCAGCTAGGCACCGAAAGCGTGCTACAGTTGGGACGTTAACGCAGTTGGACCATTCGCACGTGCGCATACTTGGCGCAACATCCGTGGCCTGATGTGGTTCTTTTGATGGGTCTGTGGATCCTATCTAAAACTCGAAGAACCTTGTTGACGACCGTCCTCGCATGATGGTAGCACAGTGAACGCCAGCATCGTACTAAACAATAAAGTAACGGTTTCAGTATTATGTCGCCTTTCCCTCGCACAGTGGCATTCGCGAAGGACTGTCTAAAACTAACTATTTCATGGACAAGCAGTTGGCAGAAATGCAGTACGGACATAGTCTCATCTTTCAAGAGGCGCAACTAACTCACTTCGCTTTGCTACTGACACTACATTGAAGTGCAAGTTCAAATCCGCCCACGTTGATGCCTTCACAGTTTACGCAAGTTCACCGGTGCTGATTTCGGCGCGTGCTTTTGAAATGATTGTCTGCATTCGAGTCACGGGACTCGCCAAACCCCGTGTCTGACCTGTTGTTTCTGTGGCAGGTTTCCTTATGACCTAAACTCAAAATTAGTGTTTTGCAAACTCAGCCGTCTGATTGTCTGCATTCGAGTCGCGGGACTCGCCAAACCCCGTGTCTGACCTGTTGTTTCTGTGGCAGGTTTCCTTATGACCTAAACTCAAAATTAGTGTTTTGCAAACTCAGCCGTCTCTTTATCGTATTTTCGATCCTTCTCAACCTCGAAGGCCCCACCCCTCTTCAGCTGCCTGTGTAACTTTCGTTTTGAAAGGCGATCTCGTGTTATGTGTACACAATGGCTTACTTGCTTTGGATTAAGGCGCTGTCGATTCCATGCATTTTCAACTCCGGGATCCGGTCTGACCAACGTCCGAAGACGTTACAGATTAAACCGATTGAGGATCTGGATACAATGCTGGGATACTACTGTCCGTGTTTCGATGCCCTGCAAAAGTGCGCACAGTACGATAGAACGATGCATTGCGGTCTTTGTATCCAAACATATTTTTGAAGTCCCCCAGACGTGACGCTAGCATTCGATATTCGCAGGTTCACTTTTCTTTCAATCACATGCTCGGCGGTGACGATGTTACTGAGGTAGTGAGCATACCATTTCTCGGATTTCCAGACGACTCTGCGCACACTGCAGTTAGGTGAAAGCTGAGTACCGTCTGAAGATGTGGTCCCACAAGCTCGAACACCAGATGACAAGAGGATTCACAGATTTGTTTGGACATTCCATCTTTGTAAAATTAACGGATAGGTTTTGCAGTGGTCTCTTGTGTTCACCTTAATGAAACTAAGTCAATGGTTCGGCTCCCACACCAATCCACACGGTTTCCCTGAAGCGACTTCATACGAAATCTCCGTGTTCATTCGACTATGAACCAGGATTTTACCAGCCCTACAGAGTAGACTGGCTCAGTGTTAATTGTCTGTTTTCTTTGTATGTCTTTTGTGTTCCTTTGCACTGTGCTGACAAACTCTTAGTCGTGTGTAACATTTTTTCCGGTTTCCCATATTGTTCGGGTTAAATAGATGAATTTACAGTGTAGTCGTTGTTCACGAAATCTGAACGGTTCAGCGAATATTCGTAATGCACTAGTCATAAGGTTGCTGAAAACTTGTCGACAGCCCACGACCGGTTTCGCCCTTCCACTTTGGACTCATCAGGTAGGCGCAGTCCCAGAGTTTCCGTCGACCTTACGTTATATTTGAAACCAAATTGCATGATATTAGCGAATATACACTCATTTGCAAACTGATTTGGTTTTTCGAGATACTCACTTGGAACCCAGCTGAATCTCTCGTTTGTGATGTTTCCAGACGACTGAGTGTCCTGTACCAGGCCGCCTCATGTCTTAGTCGCTAAGATATTCGATATATCGTGATACATGTATATTTGTAATGCATTGCTCATTAGGTTGCTGAAAACTTTTCGACAGCCCACGATCGGTTTCGCCCTTCTTTGGGCTCATCAGGTAGGTAGTCCGCGAGTTTCCGTCAACCTTATGTTCTACTTGAACCCAACTTGCACGAAGTTATTGAAATAGACTGACTGATTTGCAAACCAATTTGGTTTTTTTCCGGGAGACTCAAGTGGAACCCAGCTGAATCTCTCGTCTATGATGTTTCTATGCTGGTAGCTGCAGAACTGTCTCCTACTGCTCATCCTTCGGCCTCATTCCTTCTGGTTTAGACCAGGCGAATGGCGTACATGTGGTTCAGCACTATTCATTATTCGCGGGTGTACATCGATTTATTTCGATGTGACGGGCAGATCCAGAAACGGCACGTCCAGCCCACCACAGAGGTGCAATAGGGTGGTGTCACATAACGTCCGTCAAGCATGTGACTCCTTGGCTCTTATCCACCATCAACCCACTTCAGGACTCCTGATTTGTATGTTGTTGCCGGCTTTCAGCTTGGACAAGAGAGCCGTTCAATACCCCTCGGTTTTCTCAGCACAGAATGAACAAGCAGAATCCAAGATTAAAGCGTCCCGTTAGATGCTCAACCAGAATCTCCCCGGCATTGTCTAAATCCTCTTCTGGGGCTGTACAATACCAGTTGCTCTTGCTGCACTCCTAACCTTCCGATATCGCCGTAGATTAACTGGGATGGCGTGGGTGTTGTTTTAGTTACGTTGTCTACTTATATCATTTCATCCTTTACGATATTATTTTCAGAATACCGAGCACGTGCTTCGCAAAAGAAAGCTGCAAAAAGACCTCCCGCATCTTCAGATGAACCAGCGCTCGTCTCCGAGACTGCATCCGTTGAACAGACAGAACTTCTCGAGGAAGATGGACAGGATACCGGTACGATAGATATTGTGGATGACACTGAGGACCTTGAACCTGTACAGCCGTTTGCGACTTCACAAACCCCGTCCACCTCACACCAGACTGTTGAGACAGATTTCTAGTGTTTTCTGAACTGTCGGATGACACACTATTTGCCTTGTTCGGTGTCCCATTCTTCCACATAGCATTTCTATTCGTTTTTTTACGGGATTCATAGTGTTTTGCCTTTTATATTATTTGTATGGTCCAACATATTTGTTCTAACTTCATGTCAGACTCAAGAACTGACTATGTTCATGACGTAGAGGGAGTCCATCCAAGTACAATTTACTGCTGACTTGCTTTGGCAACTCGATGAAATCGTTCAGCTGTAGCACCCTTTCGGTGCCCAATCGCCATGCCACCCGAAGGAAGCACGAGGGCTGGGATACTGCCAGGTTTCCCAAGCGTAGACAGGGGAAGTCGAGAAGCAGAGATTAGGTTCGAACCACGGACCTTGCGGTCAGTAAATTCGCGCTCTAACCACTTGGGCTTTTTCGTCCACTCAAGCACCTGCCCTGCAGAGGAGCGACGAATTTACAGCTCGCTGTGGACCTGAACGCGAGTTCTCCTACAGAAGCCAACCGGTGCTGCTGTCTACGCCCGCGGGGACGTTCATTTACTCTGCCTGGGTGTTAAAAGAACGCACGGGTCACAATTGAGATCGGTTTCGTTCGACTATTCATCTCTTCTGACTTGGATCAAAGGTGTCAATCTTTTGCCTGCAGCCATGGCATGTTTGATAGTGTTAAGTATCTTGCGCTTCATACAAATTCACCCCAGGTAGGATGATTTACATTCATAGTGATGTTTCGACCTTCACGCTTTTCACGGTTGCTTGTGCTCTACTCAGAGGTCTTGGGGCCGGCAAATTCGTTTACTCACACGTCCCACTGTAGCAGAAACACCCAAAGTGAAAAGGGACCGATCAAAGTTTCTCCTTCAGGCAAGGATTGTAAGTAGTCACACGTCTGACAGCTTCATCTGGTATAGTAACAGTATTTTTCTCAGCTTAGTTCTCAGTCTGAGCCTCCCAAGCTAGCGTTCACGTCAAAAAACCACCAAGGGTGCACAAGGTATATTAACGCCAAAAACGAAGTCAGGGACAGTTGTACAGCCTTCATATATATAGCGTAGGCGGCAATACCTTTCTGGAAATTCGGACGCGTTCTGGATGCGCCATTGGCAACCGGCATTCGGCCAATACTGGGTCATAATTGGCTTTTGGGTCCAGACTTTCTACCAATCAGATATTGGCTTGATGCCGGACCGACAAGCTTCCCGAATTCTTGGCCAACCTTGCCTGGGATGGACTTCTTGGCCGTAGCAGAACCTGAGTGCGAGCGGTAAAGCGGGATCCTTGTGGAATTCCGCCTGACATCTGGTTAGCGTACCTTTTCAAATCTGAAGTTCATGTTACAAGTGGGGTCGACAAGACAAATTGAAATACGGAGAAGCACTCTGCAGCTATTCCGTCCTCCCGCATCTCCTGGATTTATATGTGGGTTGCAACCTGGTTAGTGGATGGGAACTATACCGTTTGACCGCGAGCAGCTGATTAGTGACACTCATTTTTCAGTCACAGTTCACGTCAGGTGATGCGGCGTTAGTTGACTAATCGATTAACAACTCCCGAGACTGAAATCCCATGCGTCTTGAGGGGTATCTTTGTTTCTGAATTGAAAGAAGGCTTAGGTTTTGTCGTCATCCTCGAAAGTCTCTGTCGCCGCTTGCCTGAAAGCGTACACCAGCAACCTCATTCTCCATCTACTGGTGTGCAAGATGGCCCAAGTGGTTACAGCGCGAATTTACTGACCGCAAGGTCCGTGGTTCGAATCCGACATCTGCCTCTCGACTTCCCTGTCTAGGCTTGGGCAACCTGGCAGTATCCCAGCTCTCGTGCTTCCTTCGGCTGGCATGGCGGCTAGGCACCAAAAGGGTGCTTCTGCTGAACGGTTCCATCTACTGGTCTCGATCCACATAAGGTGGTCATCTGATTTCGGGTACAGAGTGATGTAGGTGAGACATGGGCTCTGAGTAGTTGTCATCGTCATCAGAACGACAAGTTCACTGTCTAAACGTGATCGACCACAAAACCTATTTACTGAGCTGGTCGCTGTATAAAAATCGAGTAGCTTGTTATACCTTTAACTCAACTCTGCGCCTTGCTTGAGCCATCAGGAGTTGCCAAGTCCCGTTACCACAGTGGATGGAGGGGCAAACTCGAAGGAATTCTAGGGAGCACTCGTGTGTCATCATTGATCGACAAAAGCTAGTAAACTGTGGAATTCTTCAATGGTTCCTTGAGAATCGGCCTCGGGAAAAACGCGCATGAATCCCATTTCCACAGTCGCTCTTCTTGATGAATCCCAGATTTGCGAAAGCCCGCTATGTAAGTATTCATTTGGGTTTTTGCTGTGGTCCTCCCGCGATTTACCAGTTGGGATCTTGCTTGAGTTGGCAGCTCAAATCGCTCACATTGACAACAGAGCCCATTGATTAAATCGACGAAGCAATTGTATCCTTTTCGGGGATGGCACTTCAAACGGTTGAATGAAGGGTTCTTTCGGGGTTACCTCACTCCATTCATTTAATTTTAAGAAATCGACGAAGAGGTCAGAGTTGGGAGCTGGTGAAAGGAAGAGTTGTTTATCAGGGAAACACTAACTGAACAGCTACAGACTAATGGACAGGAAAGCAAAACTCTCACATGCATCTTGTTTACAAAACTTAATATCCATCTTTTCCTTAAACGCGTCTTCCTAAACTTTTCTGAATATTCGTTGAATGTTACTTGAATGCATGCAGATGCTACAAAACGACTCCACAAATTCCTTAATAGATCTCACTTTTCAAGAAACGCGAAGCGGATTTACGAGAGGACATACTATTCCCATGCCTCCAATCAGTAGTATCACCGTTACACTGGTAGTTTAAGCGGGGGTGGCAGTGAGACGACTGATCTGAAGTTGATGGAGTATAGAAACACAGGGACAGAAAACCCCATTTGAAGCACTTGACAACGGTGAACTTGAGTTTGTGTGGCGTAGTTTTGAGCTCGGACGAGAAGGCTATCTTTCTTGGAAACAGTTTTTGCCTGCGGTCTGAAACAAAGAGATCAGAGTAGATTGGGAGCAAAGGTTAGTTTAAGCATGTTGAAAAACGGCGATTGTAGATTACACTCGAGGCTCAAGTACCTGAAAATACAACCGGGAGAGAGGACATGGGGAGTAACTTATGGGGGAAATGAGACTTACTCAGTGATTTTAGGGTGCCAAAGTGGTACTCATCCGGTCGGTGATCCCTCAGAGACTCCCGCCATGGCAGTGAGGGTACTTGAGAACACCCCCAAACAGACCTAGGTGATACTCGAGGAACTAAGTGGTTAGTTTGGGCTCGGACTAAGCATCAAAAGCTTGATGAGAAGGTCAAACAGCCAATCAAAAGCCCTTGAACCGTGATATCATTCTGGTCTGATAACCAGATACTGAGGCAGAGGAGATGGGTGATGACGTGAAAGCACAAAAGCAGCAATGATGGAGTTCGCCATTCTCGAGGATAAGCGACTCAAGTTGAATACATCAAACCATATGTCGGTCATGTGATCCACTTGCGTTTTCGTCTTGTCGACCTCTCAAAGTGCATTGCAGGTTCCATCGACTGCGCTGTTCTCACCGACATATCTCTATTCCCTTCAGCGGAGCGACTTCAGTCGTAATCGAGCTCTGTGGGGCGCTTGCAAGGTTTGGAAACGAGGGATAAATGATGACACCGTCAAGCGTTACATCAGAGGAAATCGAGAACGATTGTTAGAAAACGTCATTTTTGTAGCCTCTGGTCAGGAAATCAATGTGTATCTTTTATTTTCGGAAGGGTCCTGCCCAAAAGAAGTTGGTAAGAAATGCAAAAAGCCAATGAGTCCAATGGGGTTCAGAAAAACGAAATGATGGCTGGATGTCCAATCATACGCTGTTAGTGATTAGGGTCCGTTTTTGTGAAGTTCCCTGAAATATACAAATCGCCACTACCACCTGAATTGTCACTCTTTAAGATAAAAATAGGAGGTTCAATCAAGGTGTATACGAAGGCCAACGCGTGGGCATCAGGAATGCAGACAGATGTTAGTTGTTAAAATGTAATAGACTACTGATGACTACGGACTACCGATGAGGTCATGACGAGAAGATTTCACATGTGAATCGAAGAAGCGCGTAAAGGTCCAAGAAGCAATCCGGACAATGCAGCTGTCATGTTCTTGAGCTACCGACTCGACCGCTTATGACCGTTGCTGAAGTGAGAGCCGCTGTCATCCCTCAGATTTACTGTTCTGGTCCAGATTAGACCTAGATTTTGTGATAACTTTGAAGTGGTCAAACATCACTGATCAGCCTTATTTGATGAACAGGGATAGGATATCTCAAACTCGGCAGTCAGTCGGCTACTTAAACTTATCCGACCTTTCATGCGTCCAGTTTCCCAGAGAACAACAATGAAAATGGTGACGGAAATAACTGAATTCAACATATTATCTCAACTAATAACTGAACATCACATCATTTGAACGCAACAACAATGAAAATGGTGACGGAAATAAATGAATTCAGCATATTATCTCAACTAATAGCTGAACATCACATTTGAACGGATGTCACGTGCGGGCTACAGACCAACCGAAGGTGTGCCCTGATTGGTCAGAGTGGCAGCCAATGCGGATCGAACATCTTGAGCTCATCGGTTCTCGCCCCCCTCGCGGAATTCCCATCACGACTTTGTCGAACATTCTATTATTACCCTATAAATACGGTTGTGATAATCTTCCTTTGTCTCCATAGACTATGTCTGAAGCTACCGTGCCTTTTGATATACCATGGTAGGGCGGAACATGAAGCCAAGCTGCACGACAGCTCAGCAAGTCACAACAGATGCTAACCTGTATGGCACTCATCGCCACTAATCCAGAGTACTTGTCTTAACCGTGGAATTAATCTTTCGCAAACGACTCGCTAGATACCGCGGGGTAGTTGAATACAGTCTATCCTGTGGTCATGCATTCCTCTGAGCGGTTTCACAAATGCTCAATTGTTGTCAACATAATCTGACTACTCACAAAACCGAGTAGTTAAGATTCACAAAAGGTTGATAAGGAAAGCCATTTTGGCACAAGATGATGTTAGGTACGTAAAGGATGGGTTGAGCTCCACAATGTGTTCTATAGTTGACGTTCAATGCCTTCTTTATGGTAGTGCTCTTCTCTTGCGTGCTGGGTTTTAGTGCGGAGTTTGACGTGTGCCATCCTCCTGAATGGAGAGCAATGTGTGCGTGCATTTCTATGCATACACGAGTTCGGACCATTTTCTTATGACGCAAAGCTTGGAGATATTGCGCGATAACAGGATGAGGTTTGTTCGAATTGTGCATTAGAGCTTCCAGAATGGTGCACTTTTTTCACCACTGCCTCCGGCTGACTCCTGCGGGAATGACAGCTGGTTCCAATCGAGGTTAGGTGCTTCAGTTGTTCACACTCGATTTTCAGTTGCCATGTTTACTATTCAGTGTCGTTTATAGTGATAGACAACATAAAAGAACCTGAGACCAGGATGTTCATCTCTTCTGATCCCGGTGAGTTGCGCTGTCACCTGAGATCCGCGACGACGCCTGTGAACTCCACAGGACGCCTTCACGAACGGTTGTTCGTAGCTGTCTTAAAGCCGTCAATATATACACGACGCCTGGAACTCCACAGGACGCCTTCACGAACGGTTGTTCGTAGATGTCTTAAAGCCGTCAATATATACACGATAGACGTCTTTACTTCGAAGTAGCGAACGAATAAATAAGTTTTAGTCCGTCTAAATTCACAGCTGTGTGTGTGGGCCAATATACGCATGGGACATTCCCTAGTTCTACCAGTGTCCTCGCCTGCGGACGTCTGCAGGCACGAGTTCTTTCTACTGCATACCCCATCACACCGTATTTCTTGCGCTGTTCGGCATTCAGCGCCCAATCCGTATTACACCGTACGCGCCGGTGGTTTCCCAATCCACACAGGATCTGTGTTGCTTTCAACCATAATATGGTTAGCTGACAAAGGTGATGAGTGTTCCGGTGCACGTATATTAGTGCAAGATGCAGCTACCACGGTAGAGCTGTGTACCACACTGTCAGAGCAGATGGACGTTAAACGTCATCAGGCGGTCAGCCTCTTTTTCTAGCTCACTTTTGTTACAATTCCTGGTTTATATGGTCATCTCACGTTCAGATGCATGTGAAACTCCTTGAGGCGGTAAGTCAGAAGGCTACTCTTTCCCAAAATTAACTTAGCCGNTTTCCCAAGATTAACTTAGCCGGTATCGGGCGGAAAATGCTCGGCGAGATTCTTCTTTCTCCAGCTTGTACAGTTTAGAAACCACTGTTAATTTTATTGTTGTAGAAAATCTCTGCAGTCATCACGAAAATCGAGAAGGCTCGTCCAGTGTGATTAAAACTCACGATTTTGGTCTAACGGCTAATGAGAGAATCTCGAATATCGAGTGAACCCGTGATATCGACCGAGTCCAGTACTAGGAGGACTGGGAAGAGGAAATGGGACAACAAATCAACAGTTTAACAATCAAACTAAAAGATAAAAGCTGGGAACAAGCGGCTAAATTTGTAGGCAGAAGCTCATTCCACCTTGTAGTAACGGTATTTTCCTCAGTTTAGTTCTTGATCTGAGCCTCTCAAGCTAGCGTTCACGTCAAAACAACCATAGGTGCACAAGGTCTATTAATGCCCAAAACGAAGTCAGGAACAGTTGCACATAGTTTCGTATAAATAGCTTAGGAGCTTAGGCGTTTATAACTTTCTGGAATTTCTGACGCGTTCTGGATGCGCCATTGGCAACCGGCATTTGGCCAATACTGGGTCATGATTGGCTGTTGGGTCCAGATTCTCGACAAATCAGATCTCGTTTTGATGCCGGACCGACAAGTGTCCCGAATTCTTGGTCAATCTCGTGCGGGCAAGGCTCATCGGCTGTAGCAGCACCTGAAGACGTGCGGTATAGCGGGGACCGTGTGGATTCCTGCCTAACACCCCTATACTTGGTCGGTTGTTTAATTCACGAAAAAAGAGGCAAACACTGGCTGAGTTTTGGAAGGGTACACAAGGGGTCAACTATTTCAAGCCGCTGAAAATTGCTCCTCTGTCCTCCTAAAGTACATCATTCTTGCCTCGATGCAGGAAGTTTAATATTTTGATTAGTAATGGGACAGTTTTTCAATCGAATAGTCCACTATCATTTATTTTGAAGAGCATGGTCACAAACATAAGAAGTGAATGCAAGCGATGAATGCGAAAGTGTAACAGGAGAATATGACAGAAAAGTGAGAAACTTCTCATTCGAAATCATGCCAGGAACAGTTCCAGTCTGATGAGATGAATCCCAAAGTATGTAAAGACTTTGCTATGGAAACACGCGTCTAAAGAACAACAACCGAAGAAAGGACAAACAATGATGAATGCTCTTCAAGGCGCGGTAGGCGCTAGCAAAGTCAAGACTCGCACATCAGGCAAAATGTGTCTGTCGTACTGGGTCTGGTGTGAGATTAAATGGCAAAAATGTACACCCGGTGCCATGTGCCACGCATACAAGTTTCATAAGTACGCAGAGAGCCCACAATGGCAAGCAAACACAAGTCACTGACTGCGACCTTAAGAGGTCCCAGTCCAATAACAACCTTGGCGGATTGAGGAAATCAGATCCCTCGATAAGAGATGATCATCGGTTGGCGGACCAAAAAGTCGATATCACAAACGATGGCATATATGGCTGAGATAATGGCGAGGCAATATTCATCAGCACCATACTTCTGCTTCTTCTCATTCCACACAGTCACTCCGCGCCCATCCGAGATTATGCTGACGTCTATTACAGTTGCTCGGTGATCTCGAACAGCGATTAGATCAGGTTTGATGGAGGACCTCGAAGTAGGTGCTCTCAACTCCTCGAAGAGGGTGTATACCAGTCGACGGAGACGTTTTGCGAGTTTGCCTTATATATATACAACCAGCTGTGCAGCTATGATCAGAGTAGACCCTTTTCAGTAAGCAGCATTTCAAAAGACCAACATCCCCAGTTTCTCGGATTTATTTTTTTTCCAGCTATTTCGCGCTCCAGTGGTTTTATTCGACTTTGTAGAACTTGCATCTAGACAACGCCCAAACCAGTCCATGCACAGAGCCTTTTTTGTGTAGAATTCTCAACCTGATGATGTCAGAAATGTGGCAAGGCCAAACGTTTGTTCAAGTCAAAGTGATGGAAGACAACATTAGATTTTTCCGTTCTGACGGAATTCCGATTTCTATTTGGTCGAGAAATTCGTCCGTAAATTATCAGCATGTGGCTGTGTCCATAAATCCTTCGTTTGTGACTCATTGCAACAAATTACCGGACGAACTTTAGTTGCAAAAATTTCGGTTATCATCACTTCGACCCCTTAGTTATTAGCAGTATAGTTTTCCAACAAAGATTCCACCGAGCATTCTTACTATGAGAGCTTTAAAAACAATTTAGTGATTAGCCGAACTCCTCTCATGCAGGCTATCGGTTTTACCATTTGAAAAATTTCTGTTTGTGACACTAATTCTAATCTTATGATGTTTACGCAATTCAGTGAATCCATCAGAGTCATTTTATGGCCATTGATTTATTTGAAATACCGTCAGGAACAGTTCACTCTGTTGCGTCACAATGCAGTGTGGTTGTGCCAAAATATCTTCGAGAGTGAATGCCTGTGGAAAACCAAAGGGGAAAGAAAATATCCCATCCTGTGCCAAGTGATGATTCCTCCGATCACGTGACGTGAATCGCGGACAATAAACAATGGGGTGTTTGTTTTCATGAAGGAAACTGAAAACTCCTCGACAGCCCAAGACCTGTTTCGCTCTTCTTGGGGCTCACCAGGTAGGCACAGTCCCCGAGTTTCCATCAACCTTATGTTCTACTTGAACCCGAATTGGACTGTTTTCGAGAACTACGCTAATTTGCTGGTAAGTTTTTTCGCTTTCTACCGCGTAAGGTCGTCACTGTGCCGCTAACAAGCATGCATAAGTAATCTTGCTAAAGTTGTCCTGACTCCAAAGGAACTCATCAAAGTCGACCTCTTTCAGCACTTGACCCTTCCTAGAAAAGACCTAACCACTTTATATTGAGTCACCTTTTCGCATGAGTGTGCAACTGGCAACCCTAGTGACGGCGGAAAGAACTCCAAAGCTTTCATGAAGGAAACTACTCAAAATGTTGCTGAAAACTCTCTTCGACAGCCACGACCGAGGTGTTTTTGTGGTTTGTCATATTGAAATTGTTTTGTTCCCAGTTGAGAAGCTGCCGTCAGTGTGTGTGTCCTCTGGAGTACTGAAGGATCCCATTAACTCGGCTGGTTCCGTTTGAAAAGTGCGATTCACAGGAACTGTCTCGCATGTGTTCTGCATTTGAGTAACATTACATTTTTGGCCAAACGCAAGCACTACTCAGAATACTCAGGACATATGACGTATGTCTCATCATTGATAGAGGAATCAACATCATCGACAGCATGACATCAGTGACCAGCACTGGTGCTTCACTACCGTACAACCATGATTTATTTGGAAGCCTTATGGTGAAGAAAAGAATAAAGGGGGACGGGAATGGGACTTAGTGCTAGCCTACCACAATCATTCCAAGGTGCCTACACCTCCAGACATTCAATCACGCGGTCTGGATAGAAACTGACAACAAGAACGGCACTGACGACGGTTGGCAGTGCCTCCAACCAGGCACAATGAGGACCACGCGGTCCCCATCCTGGAAGGCGAGTAGCACTGACAGCACCCAAGCGTTTCGTGATCTCCTTCATACTCCTCTTCCAAGTCAAGGGTTGACCACCTCTCTGCTTACGCCACTCTGGGTTGGGCATGGAAAACCGCACTCTCTTCGGCAAACGATGGTTCGGCATACGCACCACATATGCCAACCAACGCAGCTTCTGGTGCTGGACACATTCTTCAATGGAAGTACCCGTTGCACAACCGAAAACGATAAGTGAACAATCTTCAACTGTCAAACTTAGAAAAAGCAGGCGATCCGAGTGTCATGTCGCTGACCTTTTAAATAACAGCGATTAGAACAAACCGACAAGTTATGCTCCAAGAAAGCAAAGTGTATCTTCATAAAGGGAACTACCCACAACTTTGCTGAAATCTCTGGGACAGCCCACCACCGGTTTCGCCCTTCTTGGGGCTCATCAGGTAGCCGCAGTCCCCGAGTTTCCATCAACCTTGTGTTCTGTCATAAAACGAGAGATTCATTTGAGTCTGTTACATCTGCTGATTCGTCAATCTGTGGCTTCACTTACAGGACGAAATCCCACAAAAATCCCAAATCTCCTCACACTACCAATAATATATAAGTAGCTCATTAGGAAGAATAAACTCCACTCGATGAGTGAAGCTTCCATCTGAGAAACCGGTGCTCGAGGAGCCAGTCAACACGTGTGACCGCGTGATGTGGATCCTGTGATTGAAGGATGAGCGGCGCTATATCCTGTCTAAGTGCGAGTTAGTCACACTGCTGATCAGCCACTCGTGGCCGAACGGTCAAGTGTTCAAGCTACTAGCCGGGAGGTCGCGGGTTCCAGACTCTTCGGAGTTTCGTGAGATGCGCACTGCTGATGATTCCCAATAAGGATGAAACAGCTGTACAGTGCTTCTCGGCTTTTCAGCATAGATTGGCTTCACTTACAGGACGAAATCCCACAAGAATCCCAAATCTCCTCACACTACCAACAAGACTTCTTGTGTTTTGTGAAACTTTGATTCTCTTGTATGTTCATCACTCCTTGATTATCCACTTATAACGTGGGACCATCGCATTCGGATTCTATGGGGAAGGTATCGCAATCGAATATTTCTTTAGGATCATAAAGCTTGCATTCCTAGTGATTCCTAGTGGGGTAAGTAAGCCGTGTACATCACTTCTAGGCTTTTCAGCTGAAGCTGCGATAATATTGAAAAAAAAAACAATTTTCGGACATCATTTTAGGTGTTTTCTTTAGGTTATGGAGAATCAATATAATTATCCTCAAGGCCATCTGACCTACGAATTCCACGTATAAATCCGATACCATCGTATGTTGATCTGAGGAGCAGCAAGTGGAATGTGTTGAGACCATCATTCAACTGGACAGGCCGTGTAATTCAGCGCACCAGTCACCAACCATATCGGTGTTTCTTAGTCGGTAGTAAAAGTTTACACGGTGACCAAGTTCATGAGAATCTTCACCATCTGTAAATCACTAGGGTAGTTGGGCGGTTGATACCAGCGTGCCTTTATCGCATAGTTCCAGCTGGTTGTTTTTCGTGTACTCTAATACTTGTGTTTTCCTGCTGCATGAAAACAGATTTTTTGGTTTACCTGTAGCCGATCATGTTTTCCCTTATTTCTCAGAGTTTGTTTCAACTACTGGAACCCGAAGCCATTGTAAAATGTCGTAAAGTGGATCGCGATCTTGTTCAGGTATGTGTTTTGGGCCCTACTTTTTGTCGATGCTGTTGGTTACTACTTGATAACCTCAAGATGCGAAGGTAACCCGTTTTCGTTATCAAGAGCTTTACTTGTTATTCGTGGTCTGTGAATGCCACATTTTTACAAACACCGAGAATCAGGAGTATTAGATACCCTTGTCATAAATAATCTGGGCTCCGGTTAGAAAATTTAAATCGGAGACACATGCAAAAGGGACACAATGTAAGTAAACCATTTATACTGAGGAGAAGATATCTTGCAATTCCGACGCGGCAACTCATCGATCACCGGCTGGACCACGAAATCGATAGAGGGTATGGCAGTGCAGAGTCCGTTTGCGCGGTGTGATTAATAGTGCACTGGTTATAACTGTTGTTCGTTGTTAACGTGGGTCGTCTTAGACAAGTGATCGATTCGGTTCACTCACATTCACCTGGAACGGTTGTGCCAAAGAGTGATTGCAAAACTTATTAGTTACTGGTCATTTTCTTCAATTGAGATCCTCTTCGGTAAAAGTAGGCTTGCCCGTACGTTATGATGGGTGGCTAGTGCAAGGCTATTTACGAGAGAAAATCCGTGCGTTTAAATGGCAAGACTGTCTGATGTGTTAGCTGGATTTTCCGCCTTCCTGGATGGGGACTCGAGAGACATTGTCAGAGGTGGCCCAGTCGCGCCCGCCCTCACGCTCGTGCATCCAAGCTATTGCCTTCAATGCATAGCTCCCTTCCCAATTCCCCCCACTTAACAGTCCACTGACAATACTGCTTATCAGCTCCCGTTTCCAAATCATCGGTGAATCAGGCTGTAGTGGAGAATACTCAGCTGAGCCTAATCTCTGAACTGGAATTCGATTTCCACGGTTTGAGTAATTTAACTGGACACAATGTACCTTATCGGCCAAATCACACCTTATTTCTCCCCTTGTCCATATACTCCCTATCGGATGGTTTTCGTGGTATGTGAAACCTACCCACACGTTTCATGCTACCAGAAGTACACTCCGAAAACAACCTTGGTCGTTCACTCCCATTTGGAGTGCTTCCCTCTCGTTTGGTGTGATATTCTGCACAAAGTTAAAAAATGTCGAAAATATGGGAGCTGCACAAGCCGTTTTTCGTCGATTAATCATTCATGCATTGAACTAGCAATAAACACCAGCAGAACAGTTTTCCACGGAGGCCTATGTCCAACAAGTGCCCTTCGCATTGATGAAATGGAACGCCGTCACAACATTTAGGTGTTTGAATTCTATCAATCTGTCCAACAGGCTAGTTAAAGAAGGAAGTAATTATCATGTCAACTATTGACTATTGTGGGCAAAAACGAAATCGGCTGGTGCACAAAAGTTCGTACAGTCAAAGCGGGAATTCGCTTGATCTTTGTGTTTGCAAAAACATGGCGGCTCCTTGGCGAAAACATCGGTGAACTCGATTGTTTTAATTACTGGTGTCTGTTTCCAGTCCTGGTAATCCAATGGCTTGGCGAAAGGTGCTGGTCGGCGGTCAGATCACGTTGAAGATGATCTCTGCAAACTTGAATAGGGTCTCGCCATATCTACAGTAGTCATGCCATCTCGCAAAGCACTTGAAAGCCTAGATCGGCACCATCGAGTGACGTAATAACGCTTTCGGTTTCAACTTAGTATATGTTATCCGCTATTGGATTCTGAGTTGGAACTTATTGTGTACGGAGTTGTCCCGTAATTTCTGTTTATGAATTGAGACAATACGGGATACTTTTAGGACCCATCGTCCTGGAACCTGTTGCCGTAAATTGAAGTAAATTTTGATGTGACTGGTGTAGGCTGTCCACACCTAGTATATTAAGTAGGTAAACATTGCCGATGATCTCCATAAATACGAATGAAAACAGGCCCATGTTTGTTTGTTTTTTCGCCACGTTTGTTTGCCGTATTTCAGGTTTGCATTTTTTTGTCTATGGAGAGGTAGCTTGCTTCCTTGGTTTACATTATGGTTTCAATCTCCCAAGATCTCTTGCCTTCAAATCAATGCATGTTGCACGTACTCTGTTCATTTTTCAGTCCATTCTGCCCGCTTGTTTGCAAAACTATGAACAGCAGACGCGTTCAAAGTGTACTGTCACTATTTCCAATGACTGTCTTCCAGACACGTGGTGAGTTTTCTTTCGCTAACTCCTATTGGTCATGTAGAACAACGAACAGGACTGACGGTCCAGAATTCATTGACCACATCAGGTGTTACTGTGCATGGTGCGAGCAACCCCTCAATCTGGGTATTCCTTAACGTAAAGAACATTTATGTTCCGGTTCTTTTAACCCCATTCGCTCATAGGGAATACGTTAGAAGTATCTGTTTTGTCCAACAAACAGATGCACCACGTTGAATCGCGCGAAATACCTCCGAAAGGTTGAATCCTTCAGACATAGGTCTATCAAAAAATGCATTACTGTGACTACAGTAAAGTGATGAGGCAGTACACGGGGTCCCACCGGCTACTCTACCTCGGGCTACTTAACACTGAATCCAAAAGGGATCCGGCACAAGTGGGGGTATAAACGAAACGCCCACCGAATCAAAACATTGAGGACACAAGCTGACAAAGTGGAGTTGGCTGTAATGAACTAGGCGCACTGTGTCAAGGTCAAACGCTAAATGGCTGATGAAAGTTTTCTGTAGGAGCTATATCCAATAAGGGTGCCCGCTGACCTCAACCAAAAATTTGTTCACCTTTGTTCGTATCTTTGAGACCGATCAGAAAGCTCGCACGACATTGAAGAAAGGTAAAAGTTACCGTGTCTTATTTTGACCCATACTAAGTGATACCTTACAGGTTGTCATCATTGAGCTAACACTTTGTGATCCAAAAAAGTTCACTAAAGAGCTGCTTTTGAAATAAGTGATATGGAGCAGTCACTCCAAATCCGCAACCATTCAATGCCAATTATTTCCAAAAAAGCAACTTTGAATATGTTCACACCGGGATCGGGAGGCACCATATTGTGTGGACGAATATCTATATGCTACTGACTTCAAGTAGGTTGATCGAGTCTCCGGGTCTAGCAATTTCGTATGCATATGAGCTCAAAAGTACTGAAGACCGTTATTTGTGACTGCAGTAGCTCGGATGATATCCGATATTTCAGAGCGGTTAAGGAACTCCTAATGAGGCAGTCTGGAACGCCTACAGACTTATCATCTACCGGGTCGGGAGCTGTTTTCCGCGTCTTTTTCGGAATGGTGAGGTAGCGACCGAATAATCCTGTCCCGCTGAGGGAGAAGTAGTAAAATAGAGGAACAGCTCGCGGTGCTGCTGTTGTTACATGACTTTTGGTATAGGGCCCCTCTGACCGATCCTGTTGGACTGAGGAAGTTGCAAGACATCACCGCCAACTGCGTCATCTCTTCGGAAATTCTAGGTTACCGTTAAGCCTTCTCTGATCACACAGAGTTATGCATAACTGAACCGTTCCTGTAGCTTAGTGGTGCAGGGGTTACTCGTGACAGTCGTTTTTTTTGACCACTTCTCATGGACGTTTTCTTATAACTGCATCTGAAATTGTCCAAAGAACTGTCGTTTTTTTCACAAAACCCTCAGACATTATTTATTCCTCCCCTGACGAATGACAATTGCAGTTTGGTCAGCCATCCCTTCCCCCCGTAGGTCTGTCTTCGGAGGGATTGTTGTAAACGCTTTTCATCTCATACGAAACGTATGGTTGCAGGCCATTCACACTTGTCACAGAGTTTATTGATCGATAACTGCATCATTGTATCGTCCCTCTGAGGTGGAATTAATTTTAGGATCGCTGAAGCGATCCACCAGTCAAACTCTGCATGGCTAGTCAAAACTCATTCTGCTTGTCCACTCATTGTCAACATGCCTTTGGTCTTTTCAGTGCAGGCGGTGTTGAGTTATCGAATAAGGACGGGCGCATCAGAGTGGTGAACACACTCGAAAGCCGATTGGAACAGATCGGTGAACAAATGATGCCACAACTGCGCGAGATATTGTTCGGTGTCAACGAAAACCGGAAGTTCCGTGATTAGGGAACCGACCCTTTCGGGAATACCACCTCTGTATTCCACCGCATAATACTACTGTATTCGACCAGTCCACCCTATTACTTACTTTGTCGAAGCTATATTTTGAGAGAAATTGCACGGCTACTGACGCTTGTTCATCTGCTAATTCTTGGACACGGTGCTGTTACGTAATTTTCCGTTGTTTATCTGATTTCCTGTTGAAAATCCTTTTGCTCTCAATCACGTGATACATTGTCTACTATGTCACGTTTGGTGATGTTCTTATTTTCTGGATGGTATTTTGTAGTCATTTTTGGAGCTGGTTGTTACGTGACACATGGTGCTACGTGCTTAGTTTACCGGTAGCCCCACATGGGATGGTAATGAGACAAGGTTGGCAACTTTGTGCGGAAAATGAAATATTGTTTCAATCTTCTGAGCATGAAATTCGTCTAGTAGTCGATGTAGTATGAGTTGATCACAGGCAGAAGATAGTACACTATGCTAAACCAGCAATCATCTTCCTAATTGCAGTTCTCAAATAGGCCAGCCGTGCAACATCCTCGTCGGTGAGACCGAAGCTTTTTGTAAACCATGTGAATCGGTTTAGATCGCGCTGAAAATTCAACCAGTTCGTGGACTGGATCCCTTTGAACTCGGTCTAAATGTTTCGCTAAACTACTGCTGGATAAGAGTACTCGGAATGTTGGTGACATGCTTTATTTACATTCGCCTTCGCAGAACGAGATTTGATCGATCCGTTCACACTGGCTGTTTTATCACAAGAGCTATTTTGTATGAAATATCAGTTGTACCTTAAAAATTCACGATCCTGATAGCAAATCTCACTTGGCTTCTTCGTTCTGCTTCTCTCAGTTATCGTTATAGGGCTTAGTTCTTCCCACTTTTTCTTACATCTTTTCAAACGCATTTGCGAGACCGTTCGGGTAACTTCATCAATCAGCACCATGAGGCCCTTTCATTTAGAAAACTAGCTCTTGAGTTTATTGGCTCGCTATATGCACTATCTTGAAGTATAATCTTTAATGTTGTCCACTAGCATCCAAGCTGTTGTTGAGCAGTTCAAACAGGTATTCTACTGCTTTAAGAGGTGGCGGTGGTCTTTTGTCACCTTGGCTGAGTATATGCACTTCTTGAAGTATAATCTTTAATGTTGTCCACTAGCATCCAAGCTGTTGTTGAGCAGTTCAAACAGGTATTCTACTGCTTTAAGAGGTGGCGGTGGTCTTTTGTCACCTTGGCTGAGGCCCGTGTAACAGAGAACAGTTCTGTGAAGTGCGCTTTCACGTGTATGGCAGCGAAATTCCAGAGTATCCGATTTTTGATGGCCGTTGATCTGTTCACCAAGCTTCGCGATTGGCTTACAAACGTTTCATCCCAGTGGTCCGTCGCATTTCCGAGTTATGCAAAGGTTAAGTCCTGCATTTTTACCGTAACCTTCATTGCTTTTATCTCATTCTCATTTCCGAGGGTGAGCTACCGACTGCAGAGCGTGTAAATCGAATCCCCTTGGTGGTTCTCAATTTTTATTTGGTTCAGGCTCTAACAACTTTGAGATTCCCGTGTCCCCGTTCCGCTTTTGTTACTCTGCTATGCTCTTTAAGTTGGCTTTCGAATTTTTCGCCTTGTGGACTAGGCAACCAATAAAAAACAGCATGGTATCTCGTTCATGTTTTCCAAAAAAACCCAAGGTGATCATCAACCACTAATGTTTATTCTAGGACATTTGGCATAGGCGTTCGTGAAAAATTGGCGATAGTGTTTCCGTGGTATCGAATTTGTAAAATCGATTCCGGATTGGAGTTGTATTCCTGAATAGGAGAAAGGGAGTCAGAACGAGAAACTCATAAAGATAGGAAAATAACTACTTCGAATACTTCGGAAACGTGAGATTTTATGGTACATTGCCGGTAGACCCTTCAACAGCGGCCCAGCGCGAAAGTAAGCTTAGAGACAAGGTTACAGTTCACAGGTGAGACAGTTAGACAAGCTTTTTATTTATATCGTCCCGGGCTGTATCTTTTTCAATGCATTCTTAATATTTGTTCTCCCAGTTTGTTGGAGCCTTCCACATCGCATCTAAGTACAATGCGACGCAGCGTTTTCATATGCTGGGTACTTCCTTGGGAGTGTTCGCCAACGCTTACATGGGACCACCGTCAACTGACTAGAGATTCACTCGGTTGGCCCTCACTCACTTAGGATCGGTCATGTCATAATCATATATCAGCTGTAACACCCTTTCGGTGCTCAGCCGACATGCCACCCGAAGGAAGCACGAGAGCTAGGATACTGCTAGGTCGCCCAAGCCTAGACAGGGGAAGTCGAGAGGCAGAGGTCGGGTTCGAACCACGAACCTTCTGGTCAGTAAATTGGCTTTCTAACCACTGAGCCATCTCGCGCCCTCCCCCTGATCGGTCAGATTATCAAATCATCACTATCCGTGTATGAGACTCAGATGACCATTGCGCCTCCCTTTTTAATGGATCCTTGGTAGTAGTGACAACCGTTTAAGAGCCCAACGGAACAAAAACCTCAGATGAAACACGGTACCCTTGGAGAAAGAGCCATATTCGCCTTTTTATGTTCTCCTGAAAGCCGTCTTTTTTCGAGAAGACATGACATACTAAATTGTGGCTGATGTGGAAGGTTGTGGTCTACAATCTTGAGTGCGGTATTCCCATACAGATCTACTCTAAGGGTTGGGTGGAATTCGTTCATTCACTCACCCGGTAAGCTAGCGTACACGCACTTGACCTTGTTGGAACTTGATATATTTTGCTCCCGTCTGCTCTGGAAGTGCGAAAACAGCACGTCGACGTCTTCTCAGGAGTTTCGTAGGAGTTGTGCAGAACTGCTGACAAAATGTCGAGGTCTCACTGGCATGACAAATTCGTGTATCACAATGCAAATACAGGCTGGCCGATGCGGGGACTGTGTGACCTGCGGTACCCAAATAGAAGGCGGGAAAACTGAACCCGACTTCAGTAAGGTTGATTGGATGCACCGTGAGCCCGTCATAGGCAATACACCTTCAAAGACAAAAGATGGATGTAAACTGAAGCAATTGTGGTCGTAATAAACAACACGAAAACGGCAGTTTGAAATCAGCACCTTCCAGACATTGTGCCAGTCACTACAATTTGGTGGCCGGAAATATTTCAGCTCTGATCAACAGAATGACCCACTCCTTATGCATAAGGCGTATTCGACGTGAATTTTCGGGACATTTTGAGTACATTCTCCCTACAGACCTGTTGTGCACAGGCCCTCCGGTGTCTTTAGTCCCATTGGCTTCCACTCCCCCTCAGATACTCGTACTCATTTTCTATGTGAAATTGAGACCATCCTACCTATTTTCCCTCTAATAGTGAAAAAACTCTAGATTTTTGCAAAAAGAGGAATTCAGTGGATACATTTGTGATGTACTACTCATAAGGTTGCTGAAAATCCATCGAATTCAGTGGCACCATGCTGCACAAATTTTTAAACGAACTGAACTCTATATGCTGAAGGACGCTAAATGCAAAGCTCGACCCGTCCTTTCATTGCAGAAATTCCTCACTCATTGGTGAGCTCCCCCCGTTGCGAACCACGATCTCGGTCAATAAAGCTACAATGTGAGTGGCCGGCTTCCTTCCCCTATTTTCGCGTGCATCCGGCAGTTAACTGTACTACTAGGTTGAGGTGATAGCTGAAAGGAATTTCTGCTCCCCCGAAGCTGCTACCAAATGGTGTGCATTTTTGAGATTATTCACGGGAAGCATAGTCCTGAAGGGGTGGTAACTTTTGTGGGGACAGCGGTCCCATGTCCAAGGTCTCATTTATTCATACGATGGTGGTCTTCAAGACCATCAATAGTGGGAAAAAGAACGTACTGAGCCGGCGATCGCTCTGTCGCGATTCCGCAAATAGCCAATGAGTGCACACTTCTGGTTCCCAAAAAGACCGGTTGATTTCGACCAGAAACGTCAACGCAGCAATACTGATTCACAGCGCTCACTATTGTCAAGATCGATACAGTTCCTCGTGATACCAACGAATCGTGCTTGATTCTATCTTGCTGTGGTCAGTCAATGTTGTATCTACTTCTAATCTGTTGTAACTAACGCTGGTCCCCACTCCACTGCTATGTTGTCGGATAAAGCCTGACCAACAAGGAACACAACAGCGTTATTGCGAACAAGCGAGTGCAAAAGTTACGAGCGGTTTCGCACTATTTAANCATAAGGCGTATTCGACGTGAATTTTCGGGACATTTTGAACACATTCTCCCTACAGACCTGTTGTGCACAGGCCCTCCGGTGTCTTTAGTCCCATTGGCTTCCACTCCCCCTCAGATACTCGTACTCATTTTCTATGTGAAATTGAGACCATCCTACCTATTTTCCCTCTAATAGTGAAAAAACTCTAGATTTTTGCAAAAAGAGGAATTCAGTGGATATATTTGTGATGTACTACTCATAAGGTTGCTGAAAATCCATCGAATTCAGTGGCACCATGCTGCACAAATTTTTAAACGAACTGAACTCTATATGCTGAAGGACGCTAAATGCAAAGCTCGACCCGTCCTTTCATTGCAGAAATTCCTCACTCATTGGTGAGCTCCCCCCGTTGCGAACCACGATCTCGGTCAATAAAGCTACAATGTGAGTGGCCGGCTTCCTTCCCCTATTTTCGCGTGCATCCGGCAGTTAACTGTACTACTAGGTTGAGGTGATAGCTGAAAGGAATTTCTGCTCCCCCGAAGCTGCTACCAAATGGTGTGCATTTTTGAGATTATTCACGGGAAGCATAGTCCTGAAGGGGTGGTAACTTTTGTGGGGACAGCGGTCCCATGTCCAAGGTCTCATTTATTCATACGATGGTGGTCTTCAAGACCATCAATAGTGGGAAAAAGAACGTACTGAGCCGGCGATCGCTCTGTCGCGATTCCGCAAATAGCCAATGAGTGCACACTTCTGGTTCCCAAAAAGACCGGTTGATTTCGACCAGAAACGTCCACGCAGCAATACTGATTCACAGCGCTCACTATTGTCAAGATCGATACAGTTCCTCGTGATACCAACGAATCGTGCTTGATTCTATCTTGCTGTGGTCAGTCAATGTTGTATCTACTTCTAATCTGTTGTAAGTAACGCTGGTCCCCACTCCACTGCTATGTTGTCGGATAAAGGCTGACCAACAAGGAACACAACAGCTTTATTGCGAACAAGCGAGTGCAAAAGTTACGAGTGGCTTCGCACTATTTAACTGGCAATTTGACATTGATCCAGGCTGTCTGATCGGCGCTGGTTGAACACCCATGGTCATTAACTGGGCTTCTATGAAATGTCTGAACCCTAATCATAGTCGGCCATGCTTCCGTAGGTGTGCATGAACACTGGCTGAATTGATTGATCGATTGATTGACCCGGATGCTTCTCGGCTTCCCTACTGAGATTTTGGGGGAGTTTGAGGGTGTCAGTAGGTTTCGGGCATTCTGGGATAATCTTCACGCCTTCCTGACAAGGTGCGTCAGGGCGTCAAATATTTTGCAACCAAGGTGCTCCAAGAAGTACTTTTGCACCAAACGCAACGGCAGAGAGCAACAGGAGTAGACAAGGTCTTTCCTTTCTCGCCCTCAGGTTTCTTCGAATCTATGGCACTTCAGTGTACCACACCAAATAGGCGTAAAGTTGGGTGTTGATCAGATGGTTGTTGGTCTCTTAACTTGGTGCTTGGCAGATGACTTCTGAACGTTTCGTCACAAAATGAGGTGCGCACCAAGGATGTGTCTCTTCGTTTGACGACGAGACGTTTGAAAATCGGCTGTCAAGCTCGGCCAACAATACATAGGAGTGCAGAGCTACCAATATTTCGGCGCAATGCCAACTCCTAAGATACACTCACGAAATTTCAGATGGATTAACCAAACAGATAGAGACGGGTGTAGTAAAATGCGAAAGGTGCCCGATCGCTAGGGTTGCTTGTACGGAAGGCTTGTTCTACTAGGTGCCACGGGACAAGAAAGTTCTCAAACGAGGTCTATCAGATAATTGAATGACTTTTGGCCAAATGGCGTGTACCAACCATTGGAAGTAGCGAAAACACTAGGTATGCATTATATCAGCCATTCAGAGACCTTCAAACATCAAATGCGTCAAGTGTGTCTACTTAGAATGTCACTTCTTGTCTACAGATATTCCATATTGTCAATCAGACTGTAGACCTTGAAGTACATCGTGTCTTTCAACGTTAACATAAGCGAGGGCATGAATTTTGAACTCCTTTGTTTCCCTTGATCATTGATTGAGGGACGTTATACTGCACAGGCTTATGACAGGCCAGAATATGCCATAGGGTTTGATTCGGTGACTCGTGATGCATATATTCATGCTCTACTGTACGCAGTTAGTGTGGAAAAGGGTGAGTTGCCTCATGCAAAGGAATCACAGCAAAAGGAAGTCAGGAACCATCAAACAAGCATATTTCATAGCTGAAAATACTGATAGGCAAAAGGACGTGCGCATGGGGTGTCTCGATAGAGATAAACGCTTATCTTCACTTACCGATTGATGATTAGATTCTGTCTTGGTGTTGACTGTCTTTCTGGATTGATGGTAGTCCAGCAATCTTGCAGGATCAATTTACTAGCCGGTTTCGGATCGACCAGTGACACCTTTACGTAGACATTCTGTCCAGGACGGATGAATTGACCCTGGCGTATAGAAATCGAGTATCTAGAAGGTGGAATGATGGAAAAATGAACGAGTGTTGGGGCTGTTGGGGTAGAGATGAACACATATTGAACTGAAAGGTTTTCCCTGTCTTCGAAATTTCAGGTAAGACATTTCCCAAAGAAAAGTTGCATGCAGGAATGGGTGATCCCAAGCAAAAAAACCGTGTGTGTATAACGAATCCTCATTCCTGGGTAATTATATTCGGCCTAGGTGTAACAGGAGAAGTCTGATAAATTCGCCGTCGGAACGGGTGGTCCCAAGCGAAAAACGGTGTGTGTACAAGGAATCCGCATTCTTGGGTAATGTTCGGCCTAGGTGTAACAGGAGAAATGTGATAAATTCGCTGTCGGTCACAGATTGAGCACGATGTGTCTGGATTTGTGTATCGCTGACTGCATTATGTTGGCAACAGTAATGTCAAGGAAGATCGCTTAAAGATGGTTTGTAGTCTAATCGAAAATACCTACTTTGGTGGTGAATGCAGTGGTCCCATTACTGTAAAGCCTATCGTGCATTTTAAAAGCGTTCCTTCATATGCAGGCCTGGTGGTTTGTTTGTTTAAGTCCTTCTGAGATATCAGTTTCTTGGTTTTTCTGCGGCACGTAAACAATGTGTTGTTGTGTATTTATCAGGTGTTTTCACCTGGAACCCAGCTCATTATGTATCCCGATATCTTGAATATCGTAGCGACTGAAACATGGGGCGGCCTGGTGCAACACATTCGGTTGCCTGGAAACATCAAAAACGATAGATCCAGCTGGGTTCCAGGCGAGTCTCTCGAAAAACCAAATTAGTTTGCAAGTGAGTGTATTTCGCTGGAAAAATAAACCTGTTTTGAGAGGTGCTTTCTTGAAAACTGTCGTACTAAGGTCCCAGCTACTCGCGTTCTATCAGTAGTAGGAATATTTGAAGAAACTGACACTATCAGCCAGTACGTTTTGGCCATCTATATTAAATTCACAGAAAAGCCGATGAAAAAAGGAGCAGACTACTAAATATCCATGACCTTCAAAACAGCCATTTGACAACCATGCTCTTGCTTCCTCTTGTTCCGATAAAATATATCATCTTGCCGTTATTAAACATCTGCTTTTCTGAATTTCGACAGTCATTTTCACCTGATTGGTCGCGTTTGCCGGTCTAAATGACCTCAGATTTATTTTCAAGGTTGGAGATGTTGAATGGCTATCAGTCAACTAACGCCAGCTAGCGGAGCGTGCCCTATTTGCGTAGCGTAACCTGTTCGAGACTTTTATTTGCCTCCAGTCGATGCCTAATTCTGAAGCATGTGGGTTGAGATAGTGCCGGCTTGCCTTAGCCTAGATACGAGTGAATGGAAGAAGGAATTTGCCGCGGATTTACTCATTAGAAAATGCCAACTGAACGGTTACAGACTATTGGATAGGCGAGCAAAACTCTCATATGCATCTTGTTTACAAAAACTGAACATCCATCTTCTTCTTGAACGCGTCTTCCTGAACTTTCCTGGATATTCATTGATTGTTACTCAAATGCAATCAAATGCTGCAAAGCGACTCGACAAAGTCCGTAATAGATCTCACTTTTCAAGAGACGCGAAACGGATTTAAGAGAAAATATACTACTCGCAAGCTACCCTTCAGTAGTATCACATTGCACGAGTAGACGAACTAGTGGACATAATTTCAAACGGCAAATGTTCCATTCGGTTGGTGTGCGTTTTGATCACTGAGCTATCCTGTGACCTTCTCACCCCGAACTCAGGTGCATTTCGGATTAATTCTAACGAATATTACTGTACCCTTACAAGCAGGACCGCACTGTCATCATATTCGACCTTTTATTAGCTCACCAGCTCAGCAAGAAACATGAAGCCATCAAAAACTGGACTTTAGAAAGATTGCTGCTTTCTCTTAGAATTTTCAAAAGGCAGCAGTGTGATAAACCAAAATGTCTCAACGATGGGGTAAAGGGGGACATATTTCGACCATCTGTGATGAAAGATGTGTACTTATAGCAAAACAATTCACCTCGGCACAAGTGTTGATTTCCCGGTTAATTTTACTACTAAGCATTGAATCTTTCAGGGCTATATTAGTGAATATTGAATATCGGTGTTAGTCCTTTTAAAAAGCTATTTCTACGGACGGAATAGCTAGCTTTTTTCGTTATTTAGACGAGTCTTGAAAAAAGTCACTTGTAAGATCTTCGATTGTGCATCTCGCTTCAACCCACTGGGTGTTATTTTGCAGATATTTTGTGGTAAAGTTTCACTGAACATTTTGAGCTACCATGAAGAACGCGTTAGTCGGTGAGCTGAACCAAAACAAGAGGCGGTGATATTTCTCGTCCTGAGCGGACAGGAATTTTGGATGAGCCTGTATTCTGAAAGAAAGTATTGTTATACCCGGCTAGCATATTTAAGTGCCTGAATCGCTATATTGTGACTTGAGTAGGTGAAAAGTGGAACACGCGCGGGATGCAGCAAATATTCCTCAAGACGTCAGCTGGACACTGCAGCCCAAAGCAAGATGTTGAGCGCACGTTGTTCTGGCGCACCATTGTTTTCTGTCCATGGCACAGCGTTATTTGGCAGGGCTTGGCAAAGTTTAGTGACGTTGCAATTAGAAATGACGGACTATACACTGGACTATACACCGTCGTGAAGAGACTGGACTTTAGCGTGGTGTGACGGTTTGCGCAACTCAGTGACCCATTGAGCTATATTGGTGAGTGTCCCCGCGACACTCACAGGGTCTCTCATACCAGGTTGGTCAGTGGTTAG